GACCAGGGAGGATGATTCAACCACTCAACCACTAGATGTCGCTGAAAACAACAAATCCTACACACTGTGCCTTTAAGATGAATTTATCAATTTAATACATTTAAATGTAATATTTAGTAAAAATTAGTCAAATGTAAGAGCAGTGAGATACAAAAGGAATATTTTATGGGAAGTTTATAACCAGAATTTTACAGCTAAATAATGAAAATGTGTTAGTGACATTTTTTTAAACATTAATACATAGTGGCTGATAATTTACATACTTATTGGCCTTATTTTAACAAACTTCTGTTTCCACATATTTAGAGAAATTCGTTTGAAACTTTTGGCACTTGGTAAAAACACACAGGATGAGCAGATTCAGTGCATCACTGAAGGATCCTTGCAGAAACAGTGTTTATGGTTTTACCAGGAGAAGCTGCAGCAGCCATGTCTCTGTCTGCAGACCTGAGCTGCCTGCAGGCCAGCCAGGGAGCAGAGCGGGAAGAAGCGCTCACAAAGCTGGAGAAGCAGCTGATGTGTCCTATCTGCCAGGAGATCTTCAACAAGCCTGTGGTCATCCTGCCCTGTCAACACAACCTCTGCAGGAAGTGTGCTAACGAGCTCTACAAGGTGCCACTTTCTGCGCATGAGTGGGTCATGTATGTTCAAATACAGCAGTCATCGTTGGAGCGTGTTGGTAACGACTGTAGTAGACAMCTTGAATTTAAAAGTCAATCAGTTGTAGAGGAACAGTACCTATAAAAGGTTGGACGTTTTACTTTTTAATTGGGCCAAAAATGAATCATGAGTAAATAAAATACAATAAAAATAAAATAATATTAAATTAAAAATCTTTTTTCTTCATAGTCAAATAAATCAAATTTCTGATAAGGAAGTGGGAGATTGTTCCAAACTGTTATATTTGATCAGAATCAGATTTACTGACCAAGTATTTTTATATACAATTAATCTGATGTAAACAAGGAATAAAAATCTGAATTGCAAAGGTTTTTTTTTTAAAAAGAAAACTTAAGATATGAAATGCATAGAAATAAAATGTCAAAATCAATATGAGACTGAATAAATTTAACAGAAACTAGCTAAGAATTAAGGCTACTGATTGGCTGTGCAAAAAAGAAACTGTAGGTAAATGTTCTTGCAGATGAAAAATGTTTTTGTAAACGAACATAGTATATCCTGACATTAATGTAATGTGCGATGGGGGTCGAAACAGTGGGGGTGCCTGGTTTGACCTGGTCAAACTTCCTGCTGGAAGGGAGCGTCACATAGGGTCCATGTCTGGGGTATGAGTGGTCTGCAAGAATCTTTAGAATCCTGGGGGTGTGCAGGTCATGGAGGGAAGGCAGGTGCAGCCAATCACCTTCTCTGCAGAMTGAACGATGGGCTGCTGCCTGCACTGATTCTTGGTGCTGGCAGCAGAAAACCAGATGGTGATGGAGGAGGAGAGGATGGACTGATGATTCTGAGAACATCCTCTGCTCGAGCTGTTTTTGATGATGGAGCTGACGTTCAGCTCCTTCTTAAGGTTCTGGGTGAGAGTGGAGCCCAGGAAGCAGAAGGACTCCACTGGGGAGTCCTGCAGGGTGACGGGGGTGGTGGAAGCTGCATATTTCCTTTATATTTTACAGGTCGTCCAACTTTTTCAGACCTGTTGTAGATGTAAAGCCAGTAACTACTTTCTGGTAGCTGTATTTAAATGGGTCTAGTAGTTCATGAGATATTTTGGTTAAAAACAGGGTTGACTTCAAGTGTTRGTGCCAACATTTGAAGCATTTTGTCGCACAATTAAGAATGATGCTCAGCCAGTACCACTGTAACAATAGGTGATAAATATAAAAACTATAGGACGAAGGACAAAAATATACTCTCTAACTTTGAGTACAATGTGTTGTGTTCACCATGTGTGTACCATGTGTTCGCCATGTGTTTAACGTGTTCACCATGTGTTTACCATATGTTTGCCATGTGTTCACAATGTCTGTACCATGTTTTCGCCATGTGTATACAATGTGTTCGCCATGTGTGTACCAAGTGTTCGCTATGTGTGTAACGTGTTCACCATGTGCGTACCATATGTTTGCCATGTGTTCACCATGTCTGTACCCTGTGTTCACCATGTGTGTACCATGTGTTTGCCATTCATCATGTCTATACAATGTGTTTTTCATGTGCTTGTCATGTGTGTACCATGTGTTCATGCAGGGAGAAGCCTCTCATCTCTCAGGTTTTAAATTTCTTTAAACATTTTGGTCATCCATCCTAACAACACATTTAACTCTAAGTTTTTGTGCACAGCCATCTCTGTTCCACGCTCGAACCACCATGCTTGTGAATAGTGGCCATTTTAAATGTCCGTCCTGCAAACGTGAAGTGGTGCTGGATCGCCACGGAGTGTACGGCCTGCAGAGGAACCTGCTGGTGGAGAACATTATTGACATCTACAAACAGGAAGTCAACAACGTCCCGAGGTGGAGACACAACATTGATGATGAATTTGGGTCTAGATGAAGTTTAATAATTCTGTCTTTATGTCTTCATTGCAGCCCCAACCCTCTTTCTCCCCCTCCTCCTCCTCCTCAGGCAACATGTTCTGACCATGAAGGTGAAAAGCTGAACATCTACTGCCTCACCTGTCAGCTTCCTACCTGTTCTCTCTGTAAAGTGTTTGGAGTTCATCAGACCTGTCAGGTGCTTCCTCTGGCTGACATCTACCAGCAGCAGAAGGTGAGAGGATGGATGTTTGTGTGACAGTCAATAACCATCAAAACATCCAACCATTCATTCAACTGTTCATCCCACCATCATCCAGTCATCCATCCATTAATTTAACCTGGTTCTTCCCTCCCGGGTTGCTGTGGTCACTGTTGTGAAGGACCKTGGGTGAAGGATCGATATATAGACACTAACCTTGAGTCATGCAGTTTAAATCTTGTAGTTCCACATCTTCAGCAGGCACGTGCGAGGAGGGGGGTGGGGGGTGGGGCTGGATCTGGTCAAGACCAGATCCTGCAGGGACCATGATGATGGAGAGTCTTCTCAGGTAAGAACAGATTATAATTTACTGCAGGGAGAAACAAAGCACTTATGAGGACAGGGTGTTTTACAGATATTTCAGAAGTACTCTCATTCACACTTCAAAAATTTTTATCTCGTTATTTGTATTTAGGTCTAAAAGAGAATTGAACTGACAATATTTTATTATTGTTAATTTAGAGATGATTGTTTTAGTTCAAAAGCAAAAAACTGGCATGAATGTTAAATATGTAGCTTATAATTAGACATTTAGGGTGAAACCAGGCAGGTATGTGGACAGAGTATTTTACAGATATTTCAGAAGTACTCTCTTCAAAAATGTTTATACTTCAAAATGTTTTTTTAATCTTTTTATTTGAATTTAGGTCTAAAAGAGAATTGAACTGACAATATTTTATTATCATTAATTCAGAGATGAGTGATTGTTTTAGTTCAAAAGCAAAAAACTGTCATGAAAGTTAAATATGTAGTTTATAATTAGACATTTATGGTGATTTGTTAATTATTTATTATAGTTTAGTTTATTAAC